TTTAGAATATATGATACATCAAGCATTAGTTTTCTGAAGTAAAGCAGCAAAAGAACTGCCAAAGGCAGCATCCAGAAGAAATAAAAATCAGGAATTTAAACAACAAAATGTTTCTACCATTTCAAACAAAGTATTCTCAAAGTTAAGGATATGATAGATATCCATGTCCTGCTATAAAATATGTCCGGACCTATATCAATACGGGAATGGATAGGATAAGTATAAGCTTTGTGGAATTCGTAAAACTGTCCTTGGGAATTCCCAAGTGGGTGGAAGTTATTGTCCTCTTTCACCACAAAACCATCATTCTGTTGTCGAGCATCTACAACTTTTTTGGACATCTGATGCGGCAGTGATGCAAAAAGAGACTTCGCCATAGTAGATACTCCAGAATTTTTGCATATGCCACCAACTGCAGGAAAGATATCTGTTCTATAAAAGGTACCACCAATGTAAAGTGAACCCATGAAACAAAGAGACTTGATATATATTGGGGACCCAAACATATGCAAGCTATCTGTTCCAACTTTCTACAATTGAATGCCAAAGGCCCCATGGATCCATATTTAACTAGGAAGCAACAAGCGGAACATGGAGAAAAGGGGAAAGAAGAAAAAGAAAAAGAAAGACCCCATCACATTGAATCAGAACCAAGAACAGTTAATTCTGCTATATTAGGTGAAACAAAGAGCAACATCATTGGCTTAAGTGCAATTGTGACACACCTGTTCCCTTCCCATCGTATATGCAGTTGTTGACCAAAGGACCACGAAGAACCCCACAAATATCACATGCTGACATGGTTTCATCATTATCATAAGTACAAATGGAGCAGCGCCACACACCATGTTTGGCAGTTTCTTCCTCAGAAGGAGCTTGCACTGTTGCAAGGAAAAATAGTATTAAGTTGGTAGGAAGAAACATACATGCATAAGTTCTGTTAACCATTTTACTCCCTATCAAATTGAGCCAGTCATCTTTGAGAAACTTTTAGTGAAAAGTAGAGAAACCAACAAAAAGAGCAAGGTTGCCAAACTTTATCTCAACGCAAATCTGAAAGATGACAAGAAAACAAAATACACTAACCATTTTCTTCTACTTCATAGTCATAGTCATATTCATCATAGTCATCATAACCATCATCATCATCATAATCAACTCCATAGTTAACTTTTCGAGGCATAGTTCTAGCACCCAAGAAACAAACAGATGTTTCAATCAAAGATGAAACAAGCAAAACAGAACCAAATATGCAAAAGAAAATGAAATAAGTTCAAATAGGAAAAACTACATACCTTTAGGGGAAGTTAATCAATAGATGCCTGGATTCATGGGAAATCTAATTCAACCTTTAATTGATGCTAAGATCAAAGAATTACAAGCTCACAGTCCACCTTAACCTAAATATCTAAAATGACAACACTAATAACTGCATATTTCTAATTCAAAAGAACGAGCTTGAATCTGAGATGTAGTTTACTGTCTTCCCCACATGAATGAAGGATGAAGCCGCACTGCACTGCATACCAAAACCCATAATGCATTTTAGTTCACCAAAAGTATATGATCTCTTTCACCTTTTTTTTCCCAACTATTTCAAATTTTAACATCCTCCTCCCCTCTACTTCTTAGGTAGAAGAAAACAAAAACTAAAAACTAAACCCGGGTTACAATACATTCAATTTAATATTTATCCAACCTAGCGGAGAAGGAAGTTTCAAATGTTTTAGAAAATAACGAGGAAGGAGTTTTTAGGTTTCTTAGTTGCGTTAGTTTTCTCGGCAATCAAACAAAGGTTAAGATAAATGAGGCTGGCAAAAAAAAAAAAATAAAAAAAAATCGGAAGTTTTGAAATTTCTCTTGCATTCATGTTGAGGAAGAATCGCAGTTGACAACAACTTTCACGAAATTTGAATCCAATATTATAGAAATTAGTAGAAAAAAGAATCGAACATTGAATTTGTTGTAAATACAACGAGAGATGGGGTATAAAAGGGTAAGGGGAAAGCAAAGTACCTGAGGAAAATGGAAGAGTGGAAGAAGAGAATACGCCTTCTTTCCTCAGAACGCGAGCAATGCTACAAACTGAATTTGCCTGCAAGGATTTGGTACATGCTCAATACTTAATTTTCCTTCTCTTTTGCCAATCTACGCTTGAACTTTTTTTTTCTTTTTTTTTTTTTTTTTGCCAATCTACGCTTGAACTTCACTGTTACTTTCTTTTTTAACAGTGATAGTAGTTTTTTTTCTTTTTTGACAGCGGTAAGCCAGCACACTTTTTTTTTTTGGTGAAAATGTAAGCCAGCATACTTACCATGCTACAAAAAGGCTTTTTTAGTGGGTAAAAGTACAAAATTGGTCCCTGAAGTAGAGGAACCATAGCATTTTGGTCCCTCAAGTGAAAAAATATGTAATTTGATCCCTCAAGTGGAGATAACAGAGCAATCAAGTCCTTTTCGTTAATGTCCATCCAACACTCCGTTAAATTGTCCGACGTGGCAGTGACGCCGTCAACTTTGCTGACGTGTTATCTGCCACTTCATTTTTCGGAATAAAAAATTAAAAAAAAGGAAAGAAAATTGAAGTGGGTCCACCATGTTTTAAGAATTAAAGAAAATCAAAAATTTGAAAAAAAAAACGATTTTAAATAAAAAAAATCGGAAAAAGTAGAAGCAATTTACACAAAAGGCAAAAAGTGGGGCCACCTCCTTAAAAACAGTAATATTGCATATTTTCCTCCTAAAAATGGATTAAACACCTATTTCTTTTTCTTTCCCCTTTCAATATCCAAAACCCAAACTCCCATCTACGTACCCGAACTCTTTTCTTTCCCTTTTCAAAACCGTAGACCAGAGTGCAATTCCCTTCCACTTTTTTTTTTCACAACAAAATGTCATGATTTTTTCCTTCAAAGATTAACCCAACGGAAACGGAAAAACGGAAATTCAGGAATTAAAATAAAATAAAAAGAAAATAATCCAGAAATTCAAGCTTTAAATCTATGAAAATAAGGCAAACTTTAAATTCAAGCTTTGCCGAAAAAAATTACTTCGGTACAAATCTGGGCAACAAGGCAACAACCAATGGCAATTACCAAACACAAAATACTACTTAAACCTAAATTCAACGAGAAAAGCAATCTTGCGGTGCTTAACTGCCGGGACTGAGTTGACGGAGTCGTGGTCGGCCTTGCAGGTGACGTGAGCTGGCGCTTGCTCGCACACTTCGCGTACCCAAACCCGAGCTTGATACGAGGCGAGCTTTGTTGGCGGCATGAACTTTGGAGTCACAGCTGGAACAGAGAAACGCAGAGTCAGCTCGGCAAAATAAAGGAAACTTGTACAAACTTGAAAAAGGTGTCCCAAAGAAAATCTAGAGGCAAGTTTTGGCGAGCAAGAAAGAGAAAAGCAATCTTAGGAGTACCTTTAAAGTGATCAACACCGAAAAAACGAGATGCCTGATACAATGGTACGAGAGACTGAAGCGTGGGCTGAAAGTGAAGTCTGAGAAAAATCAGAAGAAAGAGCACAAAAGAGACAAGGATGATAAATATTGAGCCTAAAGTGGCGGTGGCTGATTTGCACGAGTTGACGTTGCCTAGATCTGCAAAATTAAGCCACGGAGAGGAGAAGGAAAAAGGGAAAAGGGAAGAGAGAAGATGAAAAAGAAAAGAAAAAAATAAACAGTTTATTTTCCCTTTTTAAATGTTTTTTTGTTTTTTATTTAACAAAAATTAGAAAATTTTTTATTCCAGAAAATGACGTGGCAGATGACACGTCAGCAGAGTTGACGGCGTCAGTGCCACGTCGGACGAGTTAACGGAGTGTTGGACGGAATTAACGAAAAAGACTTGATTGCTCAGTTATCTCCACTTGAGTGACCAAATTACATATTTTTTCACTTGGGGGACCAAAATGCTATGGTCGCTCCACTTTAGGGACTAATTTTGTACTTTTACCCATTTTAGTGGCTTGAGAAAGAAAAGGGTTTATTGCTCAAAAAGGCCCCTGAACTTACACAAAACGGTCAAATAAGCCCCTGAACTCTAATTGCAGTCAAATAAGCCCCTGAACTCTAATTGCAGTCAAATAAGCCCTTGAACTCTTTAAAAAGGCCAAATAAGCCCTTTTTGGATGGCTAAATGCTGAAATAAGGACTAAACGTTTCAAGATTTTCTCAAATAAGGATCAAAATACACAATTCCAATAAATTAAAACACATACTTAGCAAATTTTTACAAATTAGAGAATTCTTAAATGAAAACCAATGTTTCTCATGCGTACACGTTAAATTTGATAGAAAAATGATATTATCATGTTAATTAAAAATCAAACCCTATTAATCAAAATAAATTCATTAAACGTAATATGATATAAAATTATCATGCATTTTCAGTTTATATATATCTCACACACTAGTATTAACTTATATTCTTAAAAAAATATTAAGTATGTATTCTAATTTGTTGAAATTGTGTATTTTAATTCATATTTGAGAAAATCTCGAAACGTTTAGTCCTTATTTCAGGATTTAACCATCCAAAAAGGGCTTATTTGGCATTTTCAAAGAGTTCAGGGGCTTATTTGGCTGCAATTAGAGTTCAGGGGCCTTTTTGAGCAATAAGCCGAAAGAAAAGTAAGACCATCCTCCTACAACTGTCCTAGATCAGCCAACCCAACCGCCCCACATTCTCATTATGTCCAACCAAAGTAAGAACTAAGACTCGGAATTTTCTTCACTGCAGGAATGCACTGATGAGCAGTACAGTACAGATTTTTTTCTAAAGTCCCCAGACTAACAGACAGAGATGCACAAGGAAGAGAACTTGTGAACTCCCAACCCGAAGCAGTGCTTAATTGACAGTCTGAGAATGCGATTGCTCAGAACAAGGCACTACAAAGAATTGAGGAAAAGGTTAAATGTTAGACAACCTTTACAACCAGATAAACTCCTCACTTTTAACCTACCCTGTCAATTCCCAAAAAATAGCTGAAAAGGAAATGGAGATCAAGTCACTCAACTCACAGCTTGCTGAGCTAAAGAAGCTTAAGACCAGCTATGAAAGCTTCCCCAAAGTAACCTTCCAAGATGGCTACCCAAAAATGAACACCTATTTTGTGAACCCCGCCTTCGCTCAAAAAGACATGTCTCCACCTCCCGAACAACAATCATTCTCAACACCGTTCAAGTCAAGACCCCCATTCCAACCTAGTGAACCTCAACCATTTCCACTCGCCCCAGTCCAAATCTACTTTGACCAAAATCATCCTCCAATCCATGTCACGGCCTTTTTTGACACAGGTGCAGCCCAAACCATTGCAAACCCCCAAGTTTTACCACCCTCATTTTGGAAAGAACACAAAAACTATTTCAAGTCAGCAAATGCTGACGTGTTCTCCACAGACTATGTCAGCAAAAAGGTCACAATCCAGATTTTCCCAACCTGCTCAACCAAGCTCAGGATAATTGGCTCAACATTACCAGGAAAAGATCTTGTTATTGGATTTGATGTTATATCCAGTATCAAAGGTCTTAAGTTAGATGGTAAAGGAATTGAGTTCAAAGATATGTCCATGCCATGGAGACAATTGTCGAATTTGTTCACAATCTCCCCACAATTAGTCCCATTTCAGCAGATCAAGCAAAAGCTAGTTCATATTTCATGTGCAGAAAACCACTCAGAATTTCTACTAAAATGTGAAAAGCCTCTCTGGAAAAATCCAGAATTCTTCATTTCCCTTCCATTTAAGAAAGACGAGTCCATTAATCCAACCAAAGCCAGCCACTCAGGAATGAATCCAGACCATCTCAAGTTGGCCATAGAAGAGTGTTCACAGCTACAGTCTCAAGGACTCATTGAACCAACCACTTCATCGTGGTCATGTGAAGCTTTCTATGTCAACAAAAGATTAGAACAGACACATGGCAAGCTCAGGCTCATGATCAACTACAAGCCCCTGAATCAGTTCTTAGCAGACGATAAATTTCCGCTCCCCAGCAGGCTAACACTGTTCGCAAATTTGTCGAATGCGTAGATATTTTCAAAGTTCGATTTGAAAGCCAGTTTTTGGCAGCTTGGGATAGAGCCAACTGAACGCTACAAAACAGCATTCTGCATCCCACGACACCACTTTCAATGGACAGTCATGCCCTTTGGACTAAAGAAAGCCCCATCACTATTCCAAAAAGCAATGACAAGAATCTTTCGTCCAATCATGGACAACACCCTTATCTACATTGATGATATTTTATTATTTCTGGCAGATAAGGACAGCCATGAACAGCTACTCCAGAGATTCCAACAGATAGTGCAAGATTTCGGAATCATGTTGTCAGAAAAGAAAATGACAATAGGAACCTCAGAGATTAATTTTCTTGGTATGCATATTAAAGAAGGAAAATATGTGGCCCATCCCCATATTGGTCAAGCACTTCAAGATTTCCCAAATGAAAATCTCACCAAGAAGCAAATTCAACAGTTCCTTGGAATTGTCAATTACATGTCAGATTTCCTTTCGAATCTCGCCAAACTATCTAATCCTCTCAAGGTCCTCCTCAAAGAGAATCCCCCACAGTGGTCACAGAAGCAGACTACAACAGTTAAAGTACTCAAAGCCAAAGCATTGTCACTTCCAACACTGCACATTCCCTCGAATGGCACGAGAATCCTCCAGACTGGTGCTAGCAACAAGTACTAGGCAACAGTACTCATTAAAGAGAAGAATGGAAAAAGAAGCATTTGTGGCTACAAAAGTGGCAGATTCAAAGAATCTGAGGCCCATTATCACTCCACATTCAAAGAAATCCTAGCTGTAAATTATGGATTCAACAGTTCGAGTTCCATCTTATCGGTCACTACTTTATTGTGAAGTTGGATATGGCAACTCAAGAAGAAAATTGTTCCAAACCCTCAACTACTTCGATGGTCACAATGGTTCACACGTTATTCCTTCACCATGAGGCATATAAAAGGCAAACACAACCTCATCCTAGACATGCTCTCCAGACCCCCAAAACCTCTTAAAGAATCACTCCAAGTTCTCCCTATTATAGCCATCATTATGAATTTCATCCTTGGCCTTCCTCTACCCAAAAAGAGAAAAAAAAAGACAAAAACAAAGATAGGCAAGCTCTCAAAACCAATCCTTTCGGCAATAAGGCGGCACAACCTCCACCACTAGTCACCAACTGACCCAGATCTAGCTTTTCCTCCAGAACTAATAGAGCTCCTCACCACCGGCAAACTTGAAACAGGAGCATACCATCAAATGCTCAAATACCAATCCCTCATTCTCAGAAGTTTTGGAGACACAACTATTGCCCCATTAGGAGTCAATCCTGTCTACCCGTTTGTCAAACCACTCGCATTTGTGGAAGAACGATGGCTAAACTTCCCCATAAATGTTCTTTGTTTTCTATGGTACCTTTGTCACCTTTACCATGTTGCCATTGAATTTCCCTACACCAAACTCAGAGTAGCCTTACAAAGGATCCATGAAGACACACTCCCAACTAAACGCATTCCAAGACCCCTTTGGCATCTGGACCAAGACTATCTCAACCTCAAAGAATTTTTTAGATGGTTCCGGTCAATCCCTATCTGGTTACATTGGCTTGACACATATAACAATCAATGCAGGATGAATGATAAAGCCCACATTGTCCTTCTCCTCTTCCACAGACCATGCAGCTACAGAACAGGACATATTGAATACTTCCCATTTGCCCAGATTTATGATCATTATCCTTCCTCCATCTCCAGGTCCCTGTCCAATTTTCCAAAACACTATAAAGATCTCCAGAAAAAAACTTTGTGAGATCAATGCCACAATTCCCACATCAGTGGTAGAAACCTTCGAATTTGACGCTAAGGAACATTATCCAGAAGACTACAAAGCAAAAATAAACAGACAGAAATGATGTTCACAGAGAAGCTCACCAGACAAGTGAATAAAAATCGGATCGGACCGGCTGGTTCAATCGGTTGAACCGAGAACCGGTGTCCAGTCCAGTATCGGTATACTTGCAATATTGGAATGTCAACGTGACGCATTGACCCGGTTCAATCGCGATTGAACCGGCCGGTTTACCGGTTTTTTGACCGGTTTGTGATTTGGTCAACTTTTTCCATTTTGAAAAATTTTAAAAAAACAATTGCAAATGGTAAGAATCGAACCCCACACACTTTGAATGAAAACAAAAGACTTAACCACTCCACCAAAGTGTTATTTAATGATTATTTCATCACATATTATATTTATTTTATGCTAAAAAATATTTTTCTTCATAAAAATCTTTTAAAACGGTTTAACCACCGGTTGAACCGGTTGAACCGGTTAAACCGTATACCGGTTGCCTCACCGGTATGATCTCCGATACGGTATTTTATTCATTGCACCAGACCATTCAATAGGCTATTGTCCGTCGAAGCAAAAAACAACCTCTTAAAAGCTGTTACAGTTACCTGGAATCCACTATGGGAACCTCCAGCAATCACTGATGAACTCCATCCTCCTGAAGACCAGTTCCCTATTGGGAAGACACTGAATGCCCCATTTCACTTGGCAATAACGATGACCCTGACTTCTCACTCGTCAATAAGCTCAGATGACCTCCTGAGCTAAGACAAAAAATTGGGCCAGCCCATCACTCACTCACAATTAAGCAAGCAAGCGCCTGGCTAGAAAAACAAACTTCAGGGCCCAGTTTAGGACCCGAACTTACCCTAGAAGAAGCACGACGAAAGGTAAAACGAAAAGGGAAGGTCAAAGAATAATATCCATGGTCGTATTACCATTCTCTAGATCCAAATTTTCTAGACTCCCAACCCCCTGAATCGACTCCTGAAGAAGAGAAGCTTTGGATATAAGTTACACAGGAAGCGGAAGCCAAATACGCAGTAGAGCAAACTCTCTAAAAAAAGCTCGCTCAACTTCCAATTTTCCAACAAAAGAGTCCAAAAATCACCATGCCTGCAGATACCCCCTACTGGAATACACCAGAAGACACACTTAGCCCTCGTTCGCTAATCAAGGATGATGACAGTACCAGAAGGAAACAATTGAAATTTTGGAAGTCCCTCAAAGGTAATTTTGGCTATAATTTGACCCAAGGAGCAGACAACAGTCATCTTAATTTCCCTTGGGATGAATACTGAAAACATTATGAAACAATTGGCCCTGCGTCATCAAGCAACGCCACAACAGCAGGAACTATGACCCCGAGTTTCCCAAGTGTGCCTCATAATTAACTATGTGTATTAGGGTATATTAGTGTGTTTAAAAGTGTTTAAAGTGTGATAAAGACTTATGCAGACATTATGATGTAATGCTTAAGTCATTATGTAATAATGGTGTGCAATAATTGTGTGTAATAATGACCAAGGCTATTTTGGTCATTACTAGGGTGCGAATAGTGATTTTGGATGGCTATAAATACCACCACATGGTAGTAGCCTCCACACTTCACTTTCTCACATTTTCTCTTATCTTTCCCTTTGTAAAATATTTCCTTATGAAATATATTATGAGTTTCTAAATATTTTCTAGTTCTCTCTCTATCCCAAGTGATTAGCTAGTTAAAAAATAGCAACTCCATACTACTACTACTACTACGCCTAGTATGCAATGACATGAGTCACATGCTCTGCAGTTGCCACCCTTAGTGGATCCTCTGCATCAGAAACTCCCTACATTGTTCTGCAATAAACAGGAGTACTATGCTCTGCAGTTGCCACCTTCAGTGGATCCTCTGCATCAGAATCTCCCTACATTGTTATACTTACCAAATGATCCCGAGCAAATATAGTTTCTCAGTTTGCCCATGTTCATGGCCAAACCTTTATGGTTCTATAATAAGTTAGGGCCATGTCCATAAAAGTCAGGCCCTTTGTTCGCCATTATCGCAGGAGGCGTCCAGGCTTGAGCACGGCTAGAATACCTTGGACCTGTACCTATTTGTTATAAACCGTAAAGCTAGGCGTTGAAGTAGCAGTTGTAATATTCGTAATGGGGCTGAGGGGGCTAATGGGTATGAGGTTGATGGAGATGAACGTAACCTCTAAGAATGTCACAATCGGGAAGTCAAGGCTCTCTTGCACATAGTGTATCAAGAGATGTGTCAGGGAATATCTGAAAATATTGATGACAATTTGTGTCATCTATTGGCTTATTTTAGATCAGGAAATGCATTCTGGCAAAACAGAGAATTAGTGGCCTCTCACCCCACCTTTTGGACGGGTGGAAAATTGAGCGTATTTTTCATCAGCTTGCACCTTCTTCTTGATACGAATGCTGATGCTGCTACAGAATTGGAGAATCATTTCCCAGGCTTTGAGTGGAAAGGGAAGATGTGCATTCACTTCTTTAGGGGGGATGCTGATGTTAATGGGATTGGCAAAATGTGTGAACATGCATATAACTATAAACAACCAGGTGATACACATTATGGAAAAGGTATATTAGGTTTTGTTCACTATTTGCAAAATCTGTTTTGCCATGTCTATAGGCACACACCCGATCCAAGCAGGAAAAGATCTTCTGCACACTCTTCCTCCAAAAGTTCAAATGTATCTTCCCATATTTACTCAACCAGTCTGTTAGCAAGTTGTTCTACAACTTTTATTTCAATCCCATCTTTGAGGTGTTATTCCTCTGGAATGATTTAGGAGCTTGTGAGTTGCCATGAAAAACATCTTTTCTGCATTGGGACTTTTGGAAAGGTCTTTAAGCAATGGGGGACTTCATATTGTGAGGGGTTTGATTAATGTATTGGCTTCCGAGAGAGCTGCGAGTATTGTACGACCACTGTTCACACTTGATGATGTGGAGGTTAATGGGGTGGGTTGTAATATTCGTAATGGGGCTGAGGGGTATGAGGTTGTGACTATTAGAGAGATTCATTCATAATTTCCCAATAGAAAATCTAAAGAGTTCTACACTTCTACTTCTTTTTATATTATCTTTGCTTCTTCAAATGGGTTGACTCTTTCGTTTTGGTACATAAATGGGCTGACTATTTGTTTTCTCTTTTTCTTCTTTCTTCTTCTGTGTTAATAATGACTCCCTTCAAATTTGGACATCAATAAGACCTAAAAAAATCCAGAGTAAGCCTTAACGTGAAAAATGATAAATAGACTATTATTATTTTTGGTATAAAATATATCATTTTCTTTTACATCCAAGTGGAAAGTATAGGAGATTTTCCAACATATTAATTGTTTTAATTGTTTTTTTTTTTATATTTAGTTGAGTTAACAAAATAATTAAGGCCATCGGGGATTCGGCCTGGTGATAGAGTGTTGAACTCTTAGTTTCAGTGTACTTGGACCATGAGGTCTTGGGTTCTAGACTTCTAGTCTCATGGAATGTGAGTTTAGTTTGTAATTTATTTGTTTGTGTATTTGTTATGTTTGGTAGTTATAGATGAAATTAGAGAATTTGATAATCCTATTCAATTTGTAAATGGGGAAGCCAATGTATTTGCACATTCTCTAGCTAAGATTGAGCTAGATAATTATGTGTTGCGGGACTATTTCTCCCGGCGTTTGTAATCTCTGATTATTGATTAATGAAAGTGTTTATTTGATCAAAAACAAAATAATTAAGAAACACAAACTATGTTATATTGTCTGTCCAAATCATTAAACAATTAAACAGATTCGTAACCAACAATTTTCCCACACAAATTTCTCTTTTAC